ACTTCATATTTGGATTTGATATCCTCCATAGCCTTAAAAGAGTATCTTGGCACCCAAAAGGCCTTAAACACAAAAACCACCTGTTACCATGGACAACTATTTCCCATTTTTACCCCATGGAACTCCTCAACCCCATCAAAGAAAAGATTACCAAGACCTCTTGTGCCAGTTCTCACTCAGAATTCCTCACCAAATGTTCTTCACCCCTATGGCAAAATCCAGACTTCTTCATATCCTTGCCATTCAAGAAAAATGAAGATATCAATCCCACAAAGGCTAGTCATCCAGGGATGAATCCAGATCATTATACTCTGGCACTTGAAGAAGTAAACCTACTCCAAAAGGAAGGTCTCATCGAAAAAATAACTTCACCATGGGCATTCGAGGCTTTTTACGTCAACAAAAGGGCAGAACAAGTCCGAGGAAAATTGAGGTTAGTCATCAATTACCAGCCACTCAATCACTTCCTTGCTGATGACAAGTTTCCATTACCGAAGCGAGAAGTCTTATTCCAAAGGCTCCCACAAGCACAAGTCTTCTTAAAATTCGACTTAGAAGCGGGATTCTGGCAACTGGGAATCAAACCGGAGGATAGATCTAAAACAGGTTTTTGCATACCAGACCGTCATTTCCAATGGAAGGTTATGCCATTTGGATTAAAGGTGGCCCCATCGCTATTTCAAAAGGCAATGACAAAGATATTCGAGCCAATACTTCCAAATGCACTAGTATCCATCGATGATATCCTCTTGTTCTCTCCGGATATCGACTCCCATACCCGACTACTAGAGAAATTTCACAAGATCGTCCAATAGTATGGCATCATGCTCTCCGAGAAAAAGATGGCCATTGGAGAGACAGAGATAGATTTTCTTGGCATGCATATCTCAAAAAGGCAATACCATCTACAGCCTCACATTGCAACACAGCTCAACGAATTCCCAGATGACAAGCTCTCTTTCAAACAAGTCCAACAATTCCTTAGAGTTGTCAATTACATGGCGGAATTCATTCATGGCTTAGCAAAGTACAGGTCAATCCTTTCATCACAGCTAAATAAAGATGCTCCTCCATGGGACGAAAGATGTACAGAAGCAGTAAAAGAGCTGAAACGGATCTCAAAGACTCTACCCTCATTGAAGATCCCTTCTAAAGGGAAAATAATCCTAAAAACTGATGCAAGCGACTGCTATTGGGGTGTTGTTCTCTTAGAAGAAGACGAAAAAGGAAAAAGAAGCATTTGTGGATACAAAAGTGGTGTTTTCAAAGACAGTGAAAAGCACTACCATTCTACCTACAAGGAGATACTTGCAGTCAAAAGAGGCATAGAGAAGTTCGAGTTCCACCTAGTCGGACAACACTTTCTTATTGAAATGGACATGTCCTCGTTCCCAAAGATGATTCAGTTCAAGCAAAAGATCTTGCCACAAGCACAATTTCTTAGATGGGCAAGTTGGTTTTCACAGTGGAAGTTTGACGTGAAGCACATCAAAGGAAAAGACAATTTTCTTCCCGACTTCCTATCCAGAACCCAAAGACAGATTTCAGCTGTCATACCGATGATATGCACTCTCACTCCAACCGAAGAGTCCATGAGGAACATGATTGCAAAGATGCCACAAGGAATACAAGAAAAGATCCTAGAGACTGCTCTAGTCTATCAAGGATGTGAGAAGCTCCATGGATTCTTGAAGCTCTATGTCTACAGGTATGGTCTAGACCAAGGGCCACTCCTCCAGCTACCTTATCAGCCGGTATTCCCTTTCCTCACTACCATAGACTTAAACCCAACTCACTATGGTAAATTTCCGCAAGAAACGTATTTCCTGTTATGGTACCTAGCAGAACTGTACACCATTGGAGTAATCATTGAGCAAAATCAGATTACTTCAGTATCTGGCAAAGTGCATTCTGACAAGAAGGAAAGAGCACTACAAGTTGTTGTACAAATGGCTCACATTGTTCAACGATGTGACATGGTGGCAAGAGAATATTCGAGCACAAGAAGGATACAAAGTCTTAGTCACTTTCAACATCATCACAAAGCAAGAACAACAAGAAGACGGAGTCATAATTCAGAGAGAATACAAAGCCCAGATCCAGACAAGTAATAATGATGATTTGACGGGGACAATTTTCACATAAGGACAATAAACCTGACAGCGATAAATCACATTGAAGAATCTGAAATTGACCCACAGTTATTTTGTCCTCACACTGCAAACTGACAAAACAGGGATGCTTATCCACATGACTTTATTGACGAAATACGACAAAGTCTAGCAAGCTTCCATGATCAGTACGCGTGGCCACAAGATGATCCTGACCATCCAATCTACAGAGTTGAAGGAAAGAAGTACACAATCAAAAGGTATATCCCGGGCCACAAAATCTTCATAACGAAGATAGTTTCTGACAGCGAAGAAGACGACGAGGATTCAGACTTCGGATAAGGGAGAATCTACCTCTCTTTTGGAGACAGGGGGGAATAATAATAAATAATGATGCACATGTTGAATAAGTAAAGCATCATAATTCATATGTTAAATAAGAAAATAATAAAATATTTATGCATGAGGAAGTTAGGTATCCACATGCTAAATAGCTCTAAGTTAGGTATCTACGTGTGTAATAATCTTAAGTTAGGTATCCATTGTATTACTATAAATAAGAGGCTTGGGTGCTTGCATAAACCAAGCCAAATCATGTAATCGAGTCTGAGAGAAAACCTTAAGTGTTTTTGTAATTTGTGAGTGTTCCATATAAATAAAATATTTCCCTTTGTATAATCATCTCTTTCCATCCTTAAACAACTTTTTAAATACTATTGATCCTAATAAACTTTTTGTGTGATTATACCCACTATGTGTATGTAAATTTGGTCATAATTACATTATTTGCATAGATATTTGTAGAAATTACATGCTTTAGGGGGTAGAGAAAAATATGTTTGTCAAACAAAAAGTCGACATAGGAAATGAAATATATAGAGTCATGCAATGTTTGTCTAGAACGTAAAACATCTTTCTTCTCTACTTAAAACCCCTTAGCGAAAGAGACATAAACAAAATTAAATTATAAAGTAAAAGAAATCAAATATTGAGACAAAATCTTGGTAAAGTGAAGATTAGGTAAGAGATTCACTACAAGAAGCCAAATAAGACATTGCAGCGTAACAGGTTCTGATAATTTAACTAAAGTACAAGTTCTAGACATTCCTGATATTTTGTGCACAATTTTTTCAGCTATTTAAACATATATAATCAAGAAAAGCGATTTTTGGGTACTATTTTTAGAAGGGAAAAAACTATATTTTTGGATTTGAAAAGAAAAAAAAAAGATTGGGTTACCACCACGTAGGTTCTTAGCGACTTTATGTTTAATGTACTGTAAAAATAGCAAATGCTCTAACAAAAGTAAACACTGAAGTTGGAACAGAATCTGGAAGATTACGGAGTAAGTTGACGTACGTATCCTTGTAACCTGACGTACATAGACATGTCAGTCATAACTTGTGGAAATAGACAAAAGGTTAGAAAATTGGAGAGAGATTCATATTTTGAGAAAATATTAAATTTGTCATATAAGATGAGAAAGATCTATTGAAATAAACTACGGTTATCATTTATAACAATGCATAATACATATACATTGATACACATCAGGTCACCAATGTATTAATCATTCGCAGTCTCCCAGCCACACCAAATCTATTTGAATATACTCTGATAGTCTTACATATAATGAATTAGCATTTTTCTAATTTGTTGCAAAATTACTATATATAGAGTGTTTGTTCCCTCTTATTTGAATTTTATTTTTTGGATTCATCTTTATTTTAACCAGTCATGGAAAATGTAAGATTTTTTTTACGGCTGGAAAGGTTTAAAAAGGTGAAAACAATATTTTTTCCCTCTTCAAACTCTATAATTCCGTTTCTAATTGTTTGTATCAAACGCATATAACCAAAAATATATATGGCGTTTGCAAATAATTCCGGGAAAACCGATAAAACCCTAATAGTTGATAGTAATTACTATGTAGCAACTATCGAAATACCATAAGAAGAAAAAATAATAAGGTAGTTCAAGTAAATCAATCAAATTATATTGTAGGAAAATAATGATTTAGGTTCATTCAATTGTCAACTAAACTCAAACTGGCAAAGTGTTAAGAAGACAAGATGGTGACTGGTGACAAGTAAAGTTTCCAAATATCTTAAAAGCAAAGGTCATGCATGAGTTCAGGGGGGTAAGGAAGTAGAGGCTTAGTTAATTAATTAGCTGTTTCTGTCTGATTTCAAAATGGTTAATACAAAGTAATAATTGCGATTAAAAAGTTTTAGTGATCAAATCAGGGTTGTAGTTAGTAAGATTCGGGAAGATCTTGCCATGTCTAAACAAATACTTAATTTCAACGTCAATCACGCCAACACTTTATACTTGATGTTAATCTATTTGGCATTAAAGTATTTATGGTGGGACCTCAATTATAACCTGATTAATCATACATAAATGCATAGATAATTATATTAAGAGGGCAGATCAAAGATCTATTCAATAGAATTGTTATCTTATAATTATTTCATCAATATTATAAGATAATAAAACAAAATTCCTTTATGTCCAATCAACTAATTGAACGGTTCAAACCCGTGACATGGTTGAACATAAAAATAATAAGATTAGGAATATGTTTATCTATACTACACTATAGAATATACGATCAATGCTTTACGAGGTATGTTAGACCTACACAGCTTTTATTTATTGTTATGTGTGTATTAACATAAATCATCTATACAAGTGTTTATAAAAGCATGGAAGTCGGAAACTAAAGCATCAAAACCAATCAAAGCGATTGTAAAATATTTGGAAACATGCCATAAACAAAGTGAGTGGACCAACCTAGACTCCATAATTATTTCACTTGTGATTAAAATATAAATAATTAAATCTTAATTATAAATATAAGCACATGCAAACTCATTGTTCCCATTTAAGTCTCTAATCTCATCTTTCCATTAACAAAGACTTCTCAATCCCCCTCTCTCTCTCTCTCTTTCTCTCCCTCTTAATCTGTGTACATATACATATATGGCGACCGATACATCCTCTTTGAAACTCTTCGGCATAAACCTTCTTGAAACGACGTCGGATCAAGACCAATCACCCGAACCAAGATCCGAGTCACGGAAATACGAGTGTCAATACTGTTGCAGGGAGTTTGCAAACTCTCAAGCTCTTGGTGGTCACCAAAACGCTCACAAGAAAGAGCGTCAGCTTCTTAAACGCGCACAGATGCTAGCCACTCGTGGCTTGCCACGTCATCAGAACTTTCACCCTCACACGAATCCACTTCTCTCTGCCTTCGCGCCGCTGCCTCACCTACTCTCTCAGCCGCATCCTCCGCCGCATATGATGATCTCTCCTTCTTCCTCGACTTCTAAGTGGCTTTATGGTGAGCACGCGTCGTCACAAAACGTCGTTGGTCCCATGTATTTTCACGGTGGATCTGGAAGAAGGGGATTATACGGCGGCGGTATGGAGTCTATGGCCGGAGAAGTTAGGGCACATGGTGGATCGTTGACGGAGATGAGGAGGTTCGTCGGAGAGAGTGATCGTAGTAGCGGAGTCAAGTTAGAGAATGGTATTGGGCTGGACCTCCATTTAAGTCTTGGGCCATGTTAATTTTTATTTTGGTCCAGTTGAAATTTGTAAAATACTACTCGGATTTCATTTTTAGAGAGTAATTAATTTCCTGGGTTTTTTTTGTTAATTTCAGTTTAAAAGTGATAAAAAAAAAATGTGTTCTTATTTTACTAAATCTCATGTTCTATGTATGCGTTTGCTTTTTTTTTTTAAATTCATCTTGTACAAATGCAGTGTGACTTTTCTTCCCTATTACTCTGTCAATGTTTGTTTAATTAGTCACTGGAGAATATAAGTTTAATGTTGAAAGAAGTTGATTAGCTAGTTTGTGAGATGCACACCAAACCAGATCTAGTTTTCAAATAGAGGCTATTTTACACAAGGGATTTACTTAATCAAGTGTTTTAACCACTCTTCAAGAATGTGTTAGGCTCCAAATTTATTTGCTTTCAAAAGGTGCACATTCCTACCAATTTGGGAACTGATAAAACCTCTAAAGGCATGTTAGCCAACAAAAGCATGTTAACCTTTTCTAAAAATCAAAACCCAATTCCATTCTCATGAATGCGTTTGCACATTTTACAACATGTTATTTGATGAAGATTGCGGTTAAATAGATTGGAACTCCACCAGAATTTTGGGAGAAAACTTATAGGTTTGCGTAGACTTCAATGTATGAAGCATAAACTCATTTTCCCAATCAAAGACATTTGAGGATTAACACCAAAGGAAAAGCAAGTATATTAAGTGTTCCATAGTCTTAGTCCATGTACCACAACCAACCAACAGGACACTAAATCACTAATAGCAACATCAACAAAAACAAAGATCATCTCTTAAAATGTGACACTAACTTTTTTATTTCTTTTCCAAATGAAAATGAAGAAACCACAGCCCCAAAAGGTTAAAACGATCATCTTTAAAATGTGACACTAACTTTTTATTTCTTTTCCAAATGAAAATGAAGAAACCACATCCCCAAAAGGTAAAAACAAAGATCATCTCTTAAATTGTGACACTAGCTTTTTGATCTCTTTTCCAAATGAAATGAAGAAGCCACAGCCCCATGAGGTAAAAACAAATTACGATAATCTCTTAAAACCCTTAATCTTGCAGAAGAAGGTGATTACCCATGATAAACGGAAAAATTATATAATCATCCATCCACAGAACAAAGGAAGAAAAAACAAAGAAACCTAGACACCAATCAACAAGAGTGTGTAACATTTGCACAAAGAAACAAGAAAAACCAAATCTTTATGACAAAGGATGAGTTGGTTTCACCTGAGTTGTTTCTTCATAAATAGATGTTTTTTTATCAAATATAATTACATAGCCACCAAATTGGCCACGAATTAGTCAGTGGCTATGGTTCTGTATAAAAAAATCTGAAATGACCAAATTAGCGGTTCAGCGCTAGTGCTTATAATACATGTTACTCAGTATAGTTAAAAGCTTTAAATACAATTGAAATACAAATAAACAACCGGATGGCAAAGTTGAAATGTTGTGTCACTATTGCATCTAACTCCTCTTCTTCCATCAGCTTCTCTAATTCCATTCCTCGAAAGTTGTTCCAAATTCTGCATCGGTGCTTTCTCTTTCTCACCCAATCCATTGGTGGCGTGTGCTGCAAGGAACATGTACCCATTCTTTCACCTTTACCTCTGTTTCTTCTACCTTTCCCTGTGTATTTTTGTTTTTCAGTTCAATGATCACATTTCTTCGGATCTCGAAAAGTGAATTCGTTTTCAAAGCTTTGTAAGTATATGCCTCGAGTTCCTTGTAGAAGGCAATTACATTTGCTAAGGACTGCACTGGTGATTCCACAAGATCTTTAAGATATGCGTTGAGTGACATCTTGAACTCAGTCCCAACTACAGTGACTTCCATGTTTGGTATCCATAGATTGTTAATGACGGTCAGTCCTTCTCGTCTCCATCCAATGAAAACAGAGCTATAATCAGATATATGGTTTACTTAATATCAGGATATACACGAATATCTTTTGTATATATCATTATGTATATTTTACATTTACATTATGTCTAGATAAGGCAATGTCTAAGTGTATATATATGATGTATTTACCTATTCATAAATCAATAAGAATCAAGTTCTATATGTTATCAGAGCATATCGATTCATAAACCCTAAATTTTTTTTACAGCCGCTCTCTTTCACAACAAAGTTTTCATCGCCATGGCCAACGCCAATGCTCAACTTGTGCCTGTCTACAACAAGACGACACCCAGCGACTCGCTCATCTCTGTCAACATGTCCGGTATCACCAAACTCACTTCGTCAAACTACCTTACCTGGAAGCTTCAAGTGTATGCTCTGTTCGAAGCGCACGAACTGCATCACTTCATTGTAGAAACCGATCAAACACCACTGGCGACCGTCACAACAGACAACGTAACTCAGCCGAACCCGCAACTCGCTCCCTGGCATCGTCAAGACCGTCTCCTTTACAGTGCCTTGCTGGGCACACTATCATTGCCGATCCAACCGCTCGTTGCTCGTGCCACCACTGCTCGTGAAGTTTGGACCACTTTGGCTCGCACTTACGGCCAATCCTCTCGTGGACAGAAAAATCAAATCAAACAGCAACTGAAAAAGATCACCAAAGGAACACTCACCATCACAGAATATATGCGATCCATCATCACCAAAGCAGATCACCTTGCTCTTCTTGGTGCACCACTCGAGCAAGAAGATCTCTTGGACTACATCATGGATGGTCTCGGAGATGAGTATCGCGCCGTCAAAGAGATGGTCAATGGTCGAGACACACCTATTACCACCGAGGAGCTCCATGAGAAGCTTCCCAACCGTGAGAATGAGATACTTGTTCTAGAGGCCTCCACATCTCCATCCCTTCCAGCGACAGCCAATGTGGCTGAGCACCGATTCAACTCGTCCAACAACTACACTCCACGTGGTGGTGGTAACTACAGAGGTAGCTCGCGTGGTGGTTACCGAGGTGGTGCTCGTGGTGGTGGCTATCAAGGAAAGTGTCAAATCTGTGGCGTATATGGACATAGTGCCAGACGTTGCACTCAACTCCAATACATGACTTCCCAGCCTCAACAACAGGCGTACCGTGGCCCTTCCGCATCCAATCTTCAGCCACCACAATGGAATCCTCAAGCACACTACACAACCTCCTCACCGCATCCAACCGCAGACAATGCATGGTTGCTCGATAGTGGAGCCTCACATCACATAGCCTCTGATCTTGCCAATCTCTCAATGCATTCACCATACCAGGGCAACGACGATGTCACCATTGGCAATGGCACGGGTCTACCGATCACCCATACTGGTTCCACTCAATTACTCTCTCACTCTCGACCACTTACTCTGTCGAATGTTCTTTGTGCTCCCTCCATTAAAAAGAACCTCATATCAGTGAACAAGTTATGCAAAACTAACAATGTCATGGTTCAACTCTGTCCTTATGACTTTCAGGTGAAGGATCTCAAGTCGGGAGCAACACTAATCAGCGGACCAGCCAGTGATGGAGTCTATGAGTGGCCATTCAAAGTTCATTCACCCAATTCTTCTATTTTGGCTTTTTCATGTATCAAATCCTCGCTTGTCAATTGGCACTCGAGGCATGGTCATCCCTCTCTAGCTATACTTAAACACATTATTTCTCATTCATCTTTACCTGTTTTGGATTTTTCTCCTCCTTTATCATGCAATGCTTGTTCAAACCAATAAAAGTCACAAACTCCCTTTTTCTTTTAACTCAATGCAATCTTATGGCCCCCTTGATCTTATATATACGGATGTTTGGACCTCACCGGTGTACTCTGTTTATGGCTACAAGTACTATGTCATATTCGTTGATCACTATACTCGATATGTCTTGTTTTATCCTCTCAAACTGAAATCGCAGGTGATTCAAGTGTTCATTCCATTTAAAACACTGGTGGAAAACAAGTTTAATCGCAAGATTAAAACGTCATACTCAGATAATGGTGGAGAGTTCATCGCCATGGCGTCCTTTCTTGCCACACATGGCATCTCTCACTTTACCTCACCTCCACACACTCCGGAGAACAACGGACTTGCAGAACGGAGACATCGACACATTGTCGAAACCGGCTTATCTCTCTTGACCCATGTGTCGCTCCCAAATACGTATTGGAGCTATGCCTTTGCAGCGGCAGTCTACTTGATCAACCGTATGCCCACACCAAATCTCTCACGCAAGTCGCCGTATGCACTCTTATTCAGTGAGGAACCAAACTACTCTAAACTCCGTATATTTGGGTGCCTCTGTTATCCTTGGTTGCGTCCATACACCACTCATAAGCTCTCTCCTCGTTCAGCCCCTTGTATTTTCCTTGGCTACTCCCTTACTCAAAGTGCTTACCTATGTCTAGATCCATCTACATCCCGTGTCTATGTCTCTAGGCATGTGGACTTCCATGAGTCCATCTTTCCATACCCTCGGCTCAAAACCTCAAGTCCAAACACTGTTCCTGAACCCGCTCCAAACTCTAACCCCTCTGCTTCTCTAGTTCCCTTTTTCAGGTTGCCACTCATGACTCAGTCACAAAAAACAAATACGGTGTCCCCGACAGAGATTCCTTCACCAATGGTACCGGTTCACACCAGCAACAACTCAGTACCGGACCATGGCTCAACTGTGCAAACGCTGGCCCCAACTCACAATCTCAGGATGACCACTCGCTCGATGAACAATATTTGGAAGCCAAATCCGAAATATGGTCTCTCTGCTCTTCTGTCGGAAGTAGAACCTTTAACCATCACTCAAGCCTTAAAAGACAAGCGATGGAGGGGCTCTGCAGGTGATGAGTACAACTCTCTTATTGGTAATCAGACGTGGGATTTGGTTCCTCCCCATGAAGCGCAAAATGTCATTGGCTGTAAATGGGTCTTCCGCATCAAAAGGCTTCCTGATGGCTCGGTTGATCGCTTCAAATCTCGCCTAGTCGCAAAAGGGTTCCACCAACGACCTGGCAATGACTTCGAAGAAACATTTAGTCTTGTTGTAAAGCATGCCACCATTCGTATTGTCCTTGATGTTGCTGTTGCTAAAACTTGGACTTTACGGCAGCTTGATGTAAACAATGCCTTTCTCCAAGGTACATTAGATGAAGAGGTATATATGATTCAACTTCCAGGATTTGTTGATCAATATCGGCCAGAGTATGTTTGTCGTCTACGAAAAGCTATCTATGGCCTGCGTCAGGCACCTCGTGCGTGGTATAATGAACTTCGTTCCTTTCTCCTCAAGATTGGTTTTAAAAATTCACTTGCTGACGCCTCACTATTTGTTCTTAACACTGGCTCTGTTCTGGTCTATATGCTTGTTTATGTGGATGATATTGTTGTCACTAGCAGCTGCGATATCACTGTCAATCGCATTATTGAGCAACTCTCTGCTCGGTTCTCTCTCAAAGACCTGGGTGAACTCTCTTACTTTCTTGGTATCGAGGTGTATTGCTCTCGTGAAGGACTTCGGCTAACACAGCAGAAGTACACCACTGATCTCCTGACAAAGCTCAACATGCATAAGTCCAAACCGGTTGCTACTCCTCTAGCGTCGACACAATCGCTTACTCTCGCTGGCACTAAACTTGATGATCCTACGCAGTATCGTGCCGTCGTTGGTATTCTTCAGTATCTGTCTCTTACACGACCCGACATTGCTTTTTCCGTAAATAAGTTGAGCCAGTTCATGCATTGTCCGACTATTGAACACTGGGAAGCTGTCAAGCGTGTGCTTCGGTATCTTGTTGGCACTGTCACTCATGGTATATTTCTCTCTGCCTCGTCACCTCTTTCCCTTCATGCTTATTCTGATGCTGATTGGGCTGGTGACAAAGACTATTTTACGTCTACCGGTGCTTACATTGTGTATCTTGGCAAGAATCCCATATTTTGGTCATCGAAAAAGCTGAAGGGTGTTGCTCGTTCGTCTACCGAAGCCGAGTATCGTACAGTGGCTTCCACTGCTTCTGAGGTTAAATGGGTTGCTTCCTTGTTATCTGAACTAGGCGTTCGTCTTCCTCAAATCCCCACTATCTACTGTGATAACATCGGTGCCACCTATCTTTGTGCCAATCCTGTGTTTCATTCAAGAATGAAGCATCTTGCTCTGGATTATCATTTTGTCCGCGAGCAAATACAAGACAAGACGCTTCGAGTTTCTCACATCTCCTCTACTGATCAGCTGGCTGATGCACTCACCAAACCACTCCCACATACTCGGTTTCAAGACTTAACTGTCAAGATTGGAATCACCTCTGGTGCTTCATCTTGAGGGGGCGTATCAGGATATACACGAATATCTTTTGTATATATCATTATGTATATTTTACATTTACATTATGTCTAGATAAGGCAAGTCTAAGTGTATATATATATGATGTATTTACCTATTCATAAATCAATAAGAATCAAGTTCTATACTTAATAGGTCTAATCAAGATTATAACGAAATTTGACATTAATGTTTCGATGTGATGATCAAGATGAGCATGATTTGGATCAGAATTAATGCTTCAGTACAATCCCCAATCTCTTACCCTTGAGGCCACACTAGCTTTCAAAAACTGCTTGTAATCCCCTTCCGGTATGCACTTGAATGCAGCCTTCGTGGCAATGTCCAATGGATCATAACTCACAATAGCATCAAATAGATCAAGATGTTGTGACGACACAAGAGGAAATGCATACAAAATAGAGGGAGAGGAATGGTGGTCAACGCCAAGTAGCCAATTAGCTATTTCTCAAAGATTCATTTTTGAACAAGATTTGTTTACCTCCAACGAAAAGCTTGGTAGACATGTACCGGAGAGAACCAAGCATAGATTAAACCGGAACATTTTCGGTCTGATAAACAACCCATTGTCTCAGTAGACCACCGAGATTTTTGCAGAAAGCCATTTCCACACAACTTTTGGAAACCACAAATCACGAACCCTAAACCATCAAAGACTATAAATTTAATCATCATCAACCTCAAACAAATTCCACAACGAAGAGCAACAAAATAAGTGTACGTCTAGCCTATTATGATATGTGTTACCCGACCTTATGAGAAATTATTTAACTGTTAATTTTTGAAAACCCTTCGTAAAGGAAATGTAAAACTTCTACCAAAATCGTACAAAGCATTTTTAGACGTGATATAAGAATAATTTCAAATATTTAAATTTAAACTTTCTTTAAAAAGGAAAACGAAATCAGTGATCACAACAACAAAAATGTAAAACTCTTGAAATATCCCAAATGATTTTTGTACATATAGACTTAACTTTCTAATAAATAAAAAAAGAATTGTAAATTTCGACAAGATACTTGTAGAGTAACAGAAGAAAAAAAAAAACTTCTTCAAAGGTTTGTCGACCTATTAAGAGTCTTTAATGTTAATAGAAAAATGCAGAAATAAGGAAAAATGCTTTTTTAACAAACAAAAGAAGGAAAAACTGTTTTGATCAAAAAAACTATATAAAGAACATAGGGATGATTTTTTAATTTATTTTTCAATCTCGTTTTCATCTTTCACATTTAAAAAAATATATATATTCATATTGTTTACAAGTTAGAAACTATGACTCAAGATCAAGAAGACAACCTAGATCAAGAACTCAACCTAGAATTGGGTTTAGCTCCATGTGATCCATGGTTATAAAGAAGACGTTATGCGACACTGATGTTTCCCAACAAGGTAGGCTTAATTTACCAAGACAGGACTTTGAAGATTTGATCATTCCAGATATAGCAAAGGATTTGGTCCAGAATTTGGGAAACGGTGTTAAAGTGAAAGTTTTTGTTGTGGATGAAGAAGAATACATTGTAACCTTAAAAAAGAAGTCTAATGGAAGTTATATACTTAGCGCATGATGACCCGCACTCGTCAAAACTAATGGTTTCCAAACAAACGATCTAATTGGATTTTGTTGGGTTAATTGTTCTAACAAATTTTATTTACAGCGTATTAATTAGTTTCTCTTATTTTATTTTACTTTTTTCAAATATCTTAACTACGACGTTTGTTTTTTAGTTAGTTTTATGAGTTTTTGGGTCATGAATTCACCATGTTGATTTAATTAGTCTATTGAAAGAATAATAAAAATAATAGTTTTTTTATTTGTTCCTTAATCTATTTATTTCACTTGTATGTCCTGCTCAAGCGAGCTCGTTTCCTTCTCCGCCGCCTCAAAACTTTGCTGCAGCTTCTTTAACTATGTCGATAATATCAATAGTGTTAGTGTTACCAATAACTCTTGTTATTTTGCCTCTCTAAACAAGTACGTGATGGTAAAAACAAAAACTATGAAGTTGGCTCAATTATTTCTCATCCCCTTCTTCATTCTTACCCATTTCTTTGCCATATCTACTTCTCTAAACGATCAAGGTCTTGCTCTCCTCTCCTTTAAGCAATCCTTACAATACAGTAGTACAGTACCAGTGTACCACAATGCTGATCCGAACATGAATATGTCGATGACCACTATAGAAGAGAAGTTAGAGGCGCTGAAACAAAACTTGGACGTGCTGAAGCAAGACATGGACGAGATAAAGAAAGGCGTCTGCGAGCTCAAGCAAGGCTTGGACGTGATTTTGACGGTTTACGGCATAGTAACTATTTCCCTCCATCCGATGGGTCCGCTTGCTAAACCTGCCAAAGAAACTATATCCACTATGAATCCTAAATTATAAGCATGTGAATCCACACAAGAAAAGGCTGATCAACTTGGATTCTCAAACTTACGTAGCTGCCTTTTAGCCTGTCAAACGCAAGCATGAAGCAACCATGAACCAATGAAAGCCTAATTGATTTGACTTTCGTGGAGCTCAAGGAAAAAGTCCATTGGGCCTTAAGGAAATCTAAGCCCACTCTGAAATGGGCGTCTTTGTATTACTCTATTAACTCTCAGATCGTTTGTAATCTCATAAAGATTTTTTTGTTGACTTCATCATATTGTAAAGATAAGGTATGGCGTTATTACCAAATTATAATTTCTCACCTTTTGACCAAATAGAAAATTAATAATAAATAATTTCTCGATTTACGAATTAATGACCGTTCGATCTAAGATCTTCAGGGCCCCACCAAACAAAATAAGACCGTTATAGAAGTTAAAAAGGAAACAAAGGGTAAAAGCGTCCATACAAAAAATATTTAGGAATCTCCTCTTTTTTTCCAATCAGACCGTTACGAACTTAAATAAAAAAAATGAAGAACAAAAAACCGTGAAGCCTCTCTTCACAATTAATAAAGCACAAATAAAAAAAACTTTCTGAGGAAGAAGACGACACAGTGCGAGAAAACAATCAAAACTTTGAATCGAGATTCGATTGATCAGTAAATGGAGGATACGATTTCAAACCCTAGCATGGAACCTCTGTTATTTTCCGTTGATCCAATCTCTCTCCTACTCTCTCAAAACTCCGATAACAACAGTCTCTGCAAATTCGAGCGAGGACCCAGATATGGAGAATACGCGAGATTACGAGAATCGAAGCTTCGTTTGAAACGAGAGTACGAGAAGATACTAAAGGAAGAAGAAGAGAGGTTTTTCGGCGGAGATCAGACGAGAAAGAAACCGGCTACGAAACAAGCGAGATTTGGTTTCAGAGGAGGAGGAGAAGAAGAAATTAGAGTTTTTTCGCCGGAGAAGAACAATAAACAGACGAGATTCGGGTTTAATTATAATCCGGCGGCTAATCCGAATCCTCGGAGAATGTCGTCGTCGTCTTCATCTTCGTTGGCTCAATCTGTGCCTGATTTCTCTGCGATGATTCGCAAGGAAAATCGCCGGCCGGTTAATTCGAATTTGCTTCCCCGGAGAACAGAGCTTACTCCGCCGTCGAATAAAAGCAGAAACGCCGCCGTTTTCGCCGGCTCGGCGAGAGGAAGCATGAGTGCAGGGGAGAAGAAGAGCAAAGCGATGATGGGTATGGCGCGAAAGAGCTACGCCACCGTCGAAGATCTCAAAAAAATATCAATGGCTGCAGCTTCCGCCATTAATGGCGGCGGCGGAGGAGGAAGGAAATCAATCGGCGGCGCCGGAGAAGGACGGAAATCACTCGGCGGCGGTGGTCGGACTATCCTTGGCTACCGACAAATCTACTGATTCTTTGAAATTTGTGTGCCCAATCTCACGATTTGATATATTTTTCTACGATTTGAATCTTTTTTTTAGGTTTTGATTGATAAAGATTAGTCCTTTTTCTGGTTTTGGTGATTGATAAAGATTGGTCCTTTTTTTCTGGTGTTGGTTTTTGGTGATTGATATTTGATTACCATAAAGCTTAATAATATTGTAACAAACATTGATCATATTAGTTCAATAGCCACAATGATGAATTACACAAATGCTACTTGACAAAACATTATCTTGTTAGGTTCTACAACAGATCCATTGCTAACTCTCCGACCAAACACCAAAGTATCTCATAAGCAATCTCTGATCCAACTCCAAACAAATGAGTCTCAAGATCCATCCATTTCTCCATCTCAATACCAATAACCTCATCCACACCAATCCGAGCCAATCTCGCCCACTTTGGCACCTCCTCAAGAACACCTTGAATCAATTTATCAGCTTCAGCACTCAAAGGCTTTAACCCGCAAGAAATGTTTCTCTCTTCCAAGTGTTCGATCATGGAATCAACCAAGAACCCTCCGGTTATTCCAGGGAGGTTAACAAGATTATCAGACCGTGCCGCGTAAATCATGAGCTCATCAAAGAGTTCTGGTCCGATGAGGTAGTTGTCTTGTCTATTAGTATTACCACCAACCAAGAGCTCGGTGTGGATTATGACTTCTCTTGCGTTGGTGAATCTCTGCTGCGTTAGTATGAGACCTGTGTTGCTTAAACATCGCAGGACGTTAGAGACATGGCTTATCAGACTCGCGATTGCTCGATAATTACCACCATTGCTTGTTGAGTTCTTGAATGAAGCCGCGTAATCTTCAAGAACGTCCCAATCAGATTCTATAGGCTCTAGAGGCCGCTTAGTCTGTCCTGGAACTACACATCATAAACACCAATGTCCGGTTTCAGATACAAGAAGTGATGTTTTTTCTTCAGAAATGATTGATTCTTACGTACCTGAGATGTTGTCGAAGCTATTCGATAAGCAACTCTCGTTGGAGAAAGATGCGTCGAGTACAGAACCAGGGCTCGTGTATTCACTGTTTGGATTCCTCTGCAAGATTTAAGACGCAAAATGAAGTAAAGATGAGAAAATACTAAAGATGTTTTAAGACCTTGCGGATTATAGAGCATACCCGATAAGCTGTGTCTGCGTAAGACATATCGATATCTCGAGTATAGGGCTGATTCATAACTAAAGAAGATAACAATTCATGGAGAATCAAAGAGGCAGGTTTATTAGGCAATACACTTCCTCTTATGGCTTCATCTTCTTCTTGTATAGCGAGTTCTTTTAACTTTTGCTGAATCAAACCCACAGTACCGGCGTGATCAAGTGGTAGTCTTTTCTGATTTGGAACGCGTTGAACTACTTTTCGCTCTTTGGATTCTCTGCAGCATTGGCTATAGTTTCTATGAAGGGAACCAGGTTTCAAAGGAGCAAATGCAGCTTCATTGCTACCTCTAGGATCATTACTACAAACACAAGAGCTTTCACCATCTAATCGTCTTGAAACTGGACTCATAAAGCTACTTCCTCGTCCGTGACCACTTACACAAGCTAGCCTTCTCTTCCGTGCTGGACTACTTAGTCCTGATCTGTTACAAGAATCCTCAACTCTAGTGTGAGATTTTCTCTGCAAATTCAACTCTGAGTTATGGTTCTTGCTAGTTGAACCTCTGTTCATAGCTATTAAGTCCTTCTCTTTACAGTTGATCATATTAGCAGGTGAAGAACAAGAACCACTCTTGCCTTGTAAGGTGTAAGATCGAGCCTCACGAGGAAACCTTTCTCTCTGCAACAGCTGATTGTGATAATCGTACCGAGCTCGAGGCAGAGCCTTCTTCTCCATTTGATTAGTATCTCTGCCTCTAGCAGAAACAGACACAGGTGGTTCTTGATTTCTCCAAAACACATTTCTTTTACTACGTTCAAAAGGAGTTGATTTAGAAACACACGCCATGTTCTGTCCAATCTCTTCATCTACAAGACCTGAACCATGAACATCAACAAAGCTACCACATGCTTTACAAGAAGCAACACTATTATTACTATAACCACGTTGAAACTCTGGCGAAACAACAGCTTCAAGCGGCTCTCTCCCAGCGTTTTCGAACCTCCTCGTCCCTGAAGAACCAGGATAAGCAATAGCGTATCTCGCGTTTCTCTTCCCCGGTTCAAGAATCCTAGCAGCTGCATCAATCAACCTAGAGCTACTACGTCTATGAAGCCTCGGGCTTCTCACAGGAGAAGCTAACTTCTGATGGCTATTATACTGATGATGTTTCCTAACTCGGGTCAAAACGTTCTTGATCTGCAATGCATCTGATCCAAACTTCTTCACCATCACACGTCTATCACACACACCTGTTGTTCTCTGCAACTTCTGTGGCCTAGATTTATCGAAACCAGCATTATCTTCGCCTTCTTCTTCATCAACATCAAACAAATCGCATTTATCATTGTCCTGAAACTGCAAAAACGGCGGTTTCTTCTTCTTCTTCCCTTTGTCTCTATGATTAGATGGCATAGATTCAAGCCCCATTAAACGTGCAACCAAACTAGGAGATCTCATTTCATGCTTCACAACTTCACCTCTCTTCGGGAAACTTCCTCTGTTCTCATCATCTATCTATCAACACAAGAAACAGACATCAAACTAAAGATTGAAGAAACAGAGAGTTACACTTTAACAACAACAACGAAAGGGGGAAAATAATCACCAGATTAAGCTTAGATTTGAGCATTTTGTCATTCCCTCCAAACCTCTTTGAAGCTTGTTTACCTGAAAATGCATAAGAAACTCTTTTAAAACAACATCCGTTTTCAGACAAAACCGTAGAGAAACCGAGACAGAGAAACACTAACCAGGAAGAAGTGATTTGCGAGAAAAGAGCTTCTTTTTAGCGAAACGTCGGTTCCAATCGAAGAGCTGGAAGAAAACGCCGACGCAACCGCCGAGTCGATTTGGCCGTTTCTCTGTTATGGCCGCACACGGCGCCGTTTTATCAACCACCTCCTGTAACTCTCCCGTCATTACCACGAAACCCTAACACCAGACAAGCTCAGAGAGATCGAAACACACAGAAAAAACGTCTCCTTTAGAGACGCATTGCCTCAAATTTCATAACTTGAAGTCACCAGAGAAGAAAAATGTAGCTAGAATCTGAGAGCGTAAACCCAGCGAAAGAAAATAAAAATACTTTCTTTTTGAATTCTGATTTTGAAATAAAAAAAAAAAGGAGTCTCTCAGGTTCTGTGAAATTTTTTGGAGCTCGTGAAGAAGAAGAAGAAGAAGAATCTCTCAAGAAAAGCAGAGAGGATGAGTGTACATTAGCATTATCGAAAGCATAGTTACGAGAATAGGGAAAGAAAGAAGACAGTTGGAAATCAGCAAAACGACAATGGTACAGTGGAAGAAGAAGAAGCTATGATTCACAAAAAGGAAAAACGAATCATTAGAGCTAAAAAAGAAACTATGAGCTTAAACAAGAAGAAGATAAATAAAGTCTTTGTCAAAAAAATTGGGACTCAACGAGTAATATTCGCAATTTGGAGTTAAAAAGTGAAACGAGACAAAAGCTAAAAGATAGTGAAGAAGTGATTGAAAGCGAAACGAGAGATTAAATCTTTTTGTGTGTTTTTGCTGTGATTCTCTCTGCTGTCACTGGCGGTGAAAGGGGCTCGAGAGAGATTATTACAGCTTTTTTTTCTTGCAGGAGAGGAGAAGAGAAGAGAGAGAGAGAGCATGCGCACAAAAGGTTAAGTAGCTGATCAAACTAGACTTTGAGAAGATAAAGTAATTACGCAGAATTAGTCTTTTTTTTTTTGTCAACAATTAGTTTTTCTTTTGTATGAAGCTATGATACATTAAGGCTCTGATTGGTAATCTGCGGAATGGCAGAATTGCGTTTTTAAACACAATTTCGCAGGTTTTTTGTCAATCAACAAAAATCCGCGTAATGAAAAAATACACACAAAAACGCATACTGCGTTTTTGCTTAACAAAAATATAAAAGAAAAGTTATTCCGCAGAAAAGCGACTTATAAGTTATTTAATCTATTCCGTAAGATTTTTTCTGCAATTCTGCCATTCCGTAAAATTACCAGTCGAAACCTAAGTTAAGGTTTTCTTGGATATTAGAAGAAGCGTAAATAGTGGTTGTGGAAACCGAAGAACATGAAAGGTTCGAGGGTTCTGTTTCTCGTTTTTCACGAATCCAGTTTAATCCGTAGTCCATTTTCTCAGTTCCAACTCTTGCATCGACTTCTGTTCCAAACAGACAACAAGTTTCTTTTTTGTTTAACTAATATTGAAAAAGGGAAAAAAGTAGAGTATAATCACTTCTGATATATAAATATGCGAAAGAAAGGAGTATTACTATTTGTATTAGCATATTCATCCAAGAGAAAAATAAATACCAGATAGCTAAAATTAATTTCAGTCCATTGGGTCATTCATTGGCTTGTTTTGGTTTTTGATATAATCATTTCTATTCATTAACAAATGGCCTCCTAAATATTTTAGACTCAAATGCTTAAAAACTATCGACAATTAACAAAAGATATTCAAATGTCCAAAAGTTATAAAAATAAATAAACAACAAAGGAATTGTATTCAAATTGTCAGCATGTTTTGTCCAACACTGTTTAAAAAAAAGGAGAATTCAGAAACATATTTTTTTTGAAATTGTCCCAAAATTTACAAAAACTTTTAGATGAACTTTATAATTTTCAAAACTTTCTTGTAAGTCTTTAAATAATATTCCAAGTCTTTTTAAACATTACTCCCTCCGTTTCATAATAATTGTCGTTTTAGATTTCATTTTTTGTTTTAAAAAAAGTGTCATTCTGCATTTTCAATGTAAATTTTTACTCTTATTTCCTGTTTTATTCCTCATTTAAAGATAATAGTCTTTATAATTAAATGTTATAAAAGTATATTAATTAGAGGTATATTTGTATATTTTCTTAATTTCTTAATATGTGTGAAATGTGTCAGAATGACACTTATTATGAAACGGAGAGAGTACTATTTTCATAGTTTTCATTTATCCAATTTTGAAGATAAATAATAAAATATTACTCCTTTTGTTTTTTTAGAATAGATGTTTTAAAGAAGAAAAAAATTATTCCACAAAAACAGATATTTACTTGGAGATTTTTGTTTTTACCTCGCTTCATTCCTATTTTATCTTGTATCTTGTTCATTCATAATCAGAAACATAAGAACATCATTATCGTTGGTTTTTTGTGAGTTTCTTATGAATATTTAATAATAAATATAATCAAATGAAATATTTAACTGAAGAAAAGTTTATTATTTGGGAATTATAAAATAAGTTTTTTCTGCCACATGTCTTACTTAAATGGTTAACAACATATAATAATAAAATATATTAGATTTTTGGTTCTGTGGGCCACGTTTTTAAACAGAATATAATAATTAAAAATTAAATAAGAAATCTATATGGTTTCTGGCGATAATGATGCTCTAATGTTATTCTATATAGAATGCATTTTTAATACGAAATACAGATTCGAGATCGGAAACAAGGTGGAACGGATATCCTATCCATGGACCACCACCATATAAAACGAAAGAAGTATAACACTATATAAATATATAATATAATCAACAAAAACTACTTTTCACAATTGCCAATTTTTCGTTATTGCATATCAAATCGGCTCGAATGTGGATAACATCAACTAATTCAGGGTCATGGAACGTTAATAATCTGCATTATGGGTTTGAGTAATCGTTCAAGAGAATCGTTATATGGGTTCTTTAGTTTCCATGAATAATGAAGTGGATTTATATATATATATATATATATATGGGTGTGTGCAACTGTGCATATATAAAGAAGATGTAGAAAGTTTGAAATCTTTAAGAGTGTAATAAGACAGAAAAAGCAGAGTTGCGTCTTTGTCCATGTCTGACGATTCTGAGATATGTCACGGACAATAATAACCCATACACGCTAGGAATCTCTACTCTCTAGCACATCCCCCACACTTCTATTCAAACACAGTTCCAATTATTTTCTTCTAGTGACATATTACAATATACATACAAATACTGTACATTCAATAAAATATATATATTTTGTTTAGCTATAAACTGAAAATTGCTAGTAACGTTACTGTTTCAACTCAGAAGGCAAAACAATTCTGAAGGAAAATAGAGAAAAAACAAAAAAAAAGCGGTGTCAAATTTTGTCAAAATGAAAAAAATAGTGAAGCCAGTCTTACTATTTCCAAAAAGTAACATTTTGACCAACATGAAAAAACAAAAATTCCTGGTGCTTTCTCTAGAACTCTGTTGTTTGATTTAAACATCATGGTGAATACTGGATACTAAACGGTTGGCGATTTCATTTTTTTCTATGACGCAACAGTACATGTGATGTTTCCTTTTGTTGTATGATGTTTCTTTTTGTTGTATTATACACAGTACATATATATTATAGTTACATGTTAATATTTGCTTGTGAATGTGTTTTTTTTCTATATGCTTTATAGCTTAGTAACGACATGCATTATAATAGTCTTGCCAAAGACTACATAAACAAGCCTTTTAGAAAGAAAAAAAAAGATTAAGATAAACAAATATGTACTATGCATTAACAATTTTAACATATTATTTTAATCCTTTGTATATAACTTGTTTTACTTAACTTAATATTTTAAAATTTGTATGTAATTTTCAAAAATACCATGACACGTTGAAAAATGAAAATGAAGATTGCTCATATAGCAAGCTAATTCTAATTTCCGTAATATAAAAGACTTTTTACACATGCAATATATTTTGGGCTTTGGTTTTATGAACTAAGACTTTTCCAAGCCCATATGTTTCCTTTTTGTCGATTTGATTTTTGTAACACACATTATATACTTAGCTAACTTCTCATAATCATATTACTTTTTCAATTTTTTTTTTTATTATGTCATGTCTACATACGGTTCAAATACAAAAAGTAGAACAACGATTGTAATAAGGTCGATTAAAAATCTGATATGGTACCATAAAAAGTTTTTAGCGAGTGAGTATGTGGACTGCTATGGCTAAATCAAGTGTGTCATATTAGGAGTTTAGGACCAAGCATATTGATATAAATTTTCATAAGGGAGTTGGCAGCTTCATATGATATTTAAGTAGAGAAATGCATACTTCGGAGAATATAATTGATATTTTGACCAAAATAGCTACAGCAAGAAGTTCAAGGATTGTTTGGAATTGTTCCATATCTTCCATTGCTAAAGGAAGCTTCTATATTTCCTATTTTTCTGTTTACATCGAGTTTTGGATTTGTATATAGATCACAAACGTTTGTGAAAATTCATTCACATTATGAATGAAAAAACCTATAGACAAAATGCCAGGGTACTCGCTTCAAAAAGGTTTTTTTCCTAGTTTCTACACTTTAAAAATTCATAATTATTCACCTGCAGTTATTCACAAAAGATTTAATTACTTTTGTTCTTAAGGTTATGACCTAAATAACCTCTAAAATGGATAAAAATGTTTAAACATGAAATAGTAAACATGTATCTAAATAAATTTTGAACCGATTGTCAAAATTTTAACTTATATATATCTAAAACGCGATATGGAACAATACGGAACAATAGCTAGTTAGTTTAGTCTGATTTTTGAAAGATCAGAGTTTGATGCACTTACTTTTTCCTCTTGTTCCGCGGCTATGAATTATAATGTGGGAATGTTGGGCTTTGGTTTTACGAACCAAAAACTTTTCCATGTCCTTTCTTTTTATAGAAACAAAATTCGGCCTTGTAACCTCTTACAAGTTCCAAGTGGACAATCTACCTTTTTGATCGGATGTCATGACATAGCTTAATACGATTATATATAAAAAATAGGGATTAATCTACGCTACAGCACAGAAAATATTTTTTTGTTCTTTCAATTAAGTAAAATACTTTTGTAAAAAACAGTTATTATTATAAATTTATTTATTATCTCGTATTCACATAATGATGATTACATTATCAAATATATTATAATTTTTTTTTGTAAAATAATTTTGGTCCAGATTACTATTATTTAAAATCTATAATTTTAGTTCACAAAATTTTTTATGATCCAGTCAATTAATGAATAAAATTTAGTTATATAATATTTTATAAATAAAAATTAATTTTATAAAATATTCTATAATATCTTACAAATTAAAATTAAAGTTTATTTATATAAATAATTACTTAAATAATAATCTATTAATAATAAAAAAAAGTTAGAATAAATGGTTTTTTTTTCAGTACGTGCCATAGAAACGGAGAACAACCCAATCTAACCGAGTAGTCCATATATATTCACTCCAAAATGATATTTCAAGTATATTATATTCTTATAAATGTTGAATAATATTCTTTAATTATGAAATTTACGAAGTCGA